TTTTTTATTTTTACAGCATAATATCGTATTATACACACAAGCGTCCATTTTGCTTTACACGTGTAGCGGACGTAAAAGCTGCTTTATCTTCGCTGCAGCGACCTCTTGCAGCAAACGTTTAGAAACGGTTCGCTACATTGCAGCGCTGCATTTAGAAACGGGTTTCAGAGTGTTCGCTGTAAAGCGCTTCTCGAGCGCTGCATAAAGAAACGCGGCCAAACTTACTGATTTATAAAATCTAAAAGGAAAGGTTATAACATATGAAATTATTACAAAAATGTCCAAATTATGTTAATTTGGACATTTCATGGTCCTGTAGTCTCCTGGATGAGCTCGAAAATAAAAACGAATTATACTAAAAATTATATAAATGTATAAAATAATAATGAAAACCGGAATGTAAAAAAAAAATTCCTTTGTATGATAGATCCGTGACAATATCTAATTATCACAGAACTACTTATGTTTATCTCATTTTTTTCTAATTCTTATAGCCTACTATAATTGTAGTTTTCTATTATTAATATAACTGTGGATAAAATAGAAAAATTTGTTTTCACTTCAGAGTTTTTAATAAATCCCTTAAATGACGTAACCAAACTTATCATTGTGAATATTGGTCTTATAAAAGGACTGAAATTCATATTAATCTTATTCTAATGGTTCTAATAAAACAAAAACTGAAATAAGAATAATAAATAAGTCAATGAATTATTTCATACTTAAATTCAAAAATTAAGCTTTTGCTAACCTAAAAAAATTTATAATAATAATCAATAGCACATATCGGGTGGTTATAAAATAAGTATCTCTATTTGGAGTTGTCGGTACCTTGAAGGAACTCCTGGGCCCACCAGTGGCCAAGCGGTTTCGTTTCCTGAACACTGGGAGTTCGGTTGTGGGTTCGCTCCTCACCAGGACGATAAGGCGCGAACCACACAGCTGCCAAGTGGAGTTTTTCGGGTTTTCTCCACGTCTGTAGCGCCTGAATAGGGGCCAGTTACCCTTAAAAAGACCTCTCGGAAAGCATTATTCCCCGAGTATAAACCAAAAATATATAGGCTATACGACGACTAACCACGTTAACACATAACATGTCCATCGCAAAAACTTACTACGGGGCATCATAGCCTAGTAACTGTCGCCCAACATGAAAGACAAGGTGGGGAAGAAATCATTCCCGATGCGTTACATTCCGCAGTGCACCGCCTGGAATACCGATATGTACCGTAGTCCAGCACAATCGATATACCAGTATCATGGAACCTGAGCTACATTAACTGTGACTTTTTCCAATAAATATCGCTATGCCATCAGATTTTTGCACCTTAATTCTTTCTTGTATTACGCATTTCAAACTTTACAGCGCCCTCTATCGGCGATTTTTCCTTATTCCATTCTTCTTTCCCCTCGGGCCCACCAGTGGCCGAGAGGTCTTCGTACCCTGAACACTGGGATTCGGTCTGGGTTCGCGCCTCGCTCGGACGGGTTGGCCACGTGGAGTTTTCCGGGTTTTCTCCACGTCTGTAACGCCTAAATAGGGTCCAGTTTCACTTAAAAAGACCTCCCGGAAGGCATCCCCCCTAGGCAGACCGCCCAAGTGTTACGTTGCCATAACTAAACTAAACTAAACTTCTTCCCCCCTTAAATAGTCAATGTACCAATTTTAGTTTCATTTGAGTTATTCCTTCAAGCTACCGACAACTCCAAATTAGAGATACTGTACTTATCTTTTAACAACGTGGTATATATTAGGGTTTCTCATTTCCCGGTCTTTTGCTTGTCCCGGGATCCCGGGATAAAAGTGAACTGTTTCCCGGGATTCCGGGAAATCCCGGGATAGAATTAATTATTTTTAAGGTATACAAAATATCTTGAAATCAAATGATATAATTATTTTCCATTTTTTAAAGTAATTTTAAAGTTCTGTAACCTCCAAAATCATATTAATAATGCTGTGTAAGGTCTATAGGCCTATAATAAAAATTACCTTTAAATAACGTAGAAATTTTCACAAATAGAAAAAAATTAATTAAAGTTTGCTGGAAACTGCATACAACAACAACAAAAAAAATGTTTTGAATTGAGTTAAAAATTAAAAAAAATAAACTTCTAATTTAGAAGGTAATTTTCGTTTTTTAAATAAAATATAATACAAAATATTGCAAACTTTTATAAGATTTTAAAAAGCAAAGATGGTCAATACTCCGATAACTCACTCTAATTCTTATTTTAGTAATGAAAAGTCTTGCCACCGAGAATGCCCTTTCCGATTCAATTGATGTGATTGGAATAGTGTTTAATGCATTTAAGAGAAGACAGATATTATGTGTTTTTTCACCTGTAGCCTGGAAGATTTCGAGTTCGTTTTCGAGATTGTAGTACTTCTTTCGCTCTCTAGTATTCTTGATTTGTCTACCTTGGCTGCTTTAATAGCGGCATCAAGCTTAGAGCTCGATAATTCGGCAATTCATTTGGCTTTAATAATCAGGTTTATGAAGAAAAACTTCATACTTGCAGACTTTGTACTCGTTTGTATCCTTGCCCAATTTGCACAATCTGGCGTCAGGCATTTATTGAAGCTACTGGGCATGGTTAAAACTCAAGACAGCGTAAGCACAATTATTCCAGATATTACAGGTTCCGACAAGTAAAGAATTTTTATAGTCATGCCACAAATAAGCTATATATTGATTATTGACCATTTGTGACATGCTATAACGAGCAAAAATTTAAAAAAACTAATAGGTAGGTTTAAAATTAATAAATACAAATGTATTCTGGCAGTGAATGAGTTAATTATGCTTTCTATTTGCAAAACTCCTCAACCTTAACACAAAATAAGAAAAAAAGTGAATTTTTAAGAAATTTGCGGGATTTCCCGGGATAAGAAAAATTTCCCGGGATATTTCCCGGGTTAAAAAAACAACCGGGATCCCGGAATCCCGTTTGAGAAACCCTAGTATATATACATAAATCTAAAGGAAGATTTAATGTATACAGTATTACATTTATTAATTTAGCAAGATCGCCAAATTCAAGCTTTATAAAAAATAACTTTTATAGAAAATTTCCATTCATCTCATTTTACCAATAGTATCTTACATGATCTTATATCATTGATGATGAAAATTTTAAAATTACGTAATAGAAAATTCATATAATGAATTTAGAGGGATATTTTTTTATTTGTAATTATTTTATGTAAATATTATTGTCTGAAAACAAATAGAGTTGAATTTTACATCAAAATATTAATACTCTAAATATGATATGTTTTCATATAGTTACAAAAAGTTGCACATAATAACCAATACTCTCAAATTAGATTTTTGTTGATATAAATTGATTTTATTTCTCAATAAACAATGTAAATAAACGTGAAAAGACATTCTTTCCATCGAAATCTCTGTCTAAAAATTGTATGTAGTAGTATCTATTTCCACCGTAGTACATGATGGTAAATAAATATTTATTTACTTAAAGAAACTATTAAAACTGACAAACTGGCGTGACCCGGGTTATAACTAATATCTACGCAAGACGTGAAACAAAATCACAACTGCAATCAAACGGAAGTTTATTAATTTGACGGAAATAGATAAATAAAAAGAAATAAATAATAAAGTTTAAGACTTTATTATTTATTTCTTGTTAATTGTTAGTTAATTGTTAGTTGTCATATACAGTAAACGGAAGTATATAAGATGATTAATTAGAAGATTTTTATATTAAACAATGGTTTGAATTTAATGCATTCATTCATATTCGCCTGCAGTAAAATTATTTAATTTTTCTTCTTACCACCAATAGTTATAAAACTATTAAATGCAATTTTGATTCCTATTTTACAGAAGAAATTACCAGATTCTCGATTCCTAATATTCCTAAGAATTGGGTGCACGTTGGCGCGGAAAGGAGACAGTCTTATAGATTGTATATTGCTATATTTTAATTAATTAATTAATTAAGCAAAAGTGCTATTTTAGTATTTAAAAATAGCACCATTAGATTCCTCGTGAAAAGTTACGCCTATTAGATCGTTTTTAGGCCTGTACACAGTTTCTCTTTAACTTTTATAGCGGACAAACATACACAGTATAAAGAAAAGATGAGCTGAATATAGGCCTAATACTCGAAAATTCTGATAAAATATAAAGATTTTCTTATATAAACTTTAAATTATTCAAAGAAATTTTATACCTCAATAAAACAGAAATAAATTTAGAATTATATAAAATAAGGATATTTACAATATAAAATTATGCAATAATTTATTTATTATATAATAAAATCTTTCGTTGAACGAGATTTATGATCACTATTTAATTTTATTTCTACTCGTTCCTTTTAAAGAGATTATTGAAAGTGAATGCTATAAGGATCCATTAACCAATTTTTGCAGGAAAAATACTGATTATACAATTTTCTATCTAGGTCTACAATTTAAAATTTCTGACAAAGTAAACCCAAGAAAAACTTGAATGAAATAATTTTACAACCAATCGTTTTGATTATTTTATGGTCACGATTTAATATATAGAGTAGGCCCACTGGATAACGCAACAGCATATTTTGACCTAATTTGCATATTATGCATGAAAACTTATCTAGAATCTTCACTTTGATAAAATCTCCGGCAAACGCCATTTAAAGATATTATTTATATAAACTAGTGCATAAACTTTTAAACACAAAAACACGTTTATATTTATTTCTGTAGCCTACGACACAATAAAAAATTTGTCAAATTACTTGTTAATTTTAGAGTCACCTCTTTAATAACAAACAGGTTAAATCAAATGTAAGATAATTGTTATTTATATACACGACCTTTAATTTTTGTAAAAGGAAAACATGACTTTACACGAGATTTGTTCTGTTTTTGTTTAAATTTTATATGATTATTAATTTTTTAAATGTGCGTTTTATACTTTATAAAGCCTCTAAAATACTGGATAAAATTTAATTTAATATGGATTGTATTCGTTCTAAGTTTAAATTTTGTGGGCTTGCTAAATTAGTTTATATACATATATAATGGCCTATTTATTATGCAAGTTTTTAATTTGGAGTGTGGGAGAGAGCAAAAAGTACCCTAATCTAGTCTAGAATTCAATATTCAACACCGAGGTTAATCACCTAAAAAATCAGAATCAAATTATCACATAATGTATTAACACGGATGTAATAACAATACTTTTTTTAATGCTTTTTTAATGAACTAAGCCGTGAGAAATTTTCAATAATCGGAAAGGTTTTCTCTCCGAATTTATAGTGTCTATCGATAATGCAGTGGCGCGTTATAGCTTCATGGGGCCTAAGCATATTTGAATTAGGGGGACCCATGTAGAGTGTTGACTTCAAACATTTTTCTTTGGGGAAAATCTTTGCTCATAAAAGATTGGTTTCAGGCCTCTGTTGGGCAAAAAAAGAGCAGGCCCCAGGCAATTGCCCTTTTTTTGCCCATAGAGTAACGCGCCACTGCGATGATAGCATAATGTAGAGAGATACTGAAACTGTTTACATAAAATATATACTGTTTGCAATATTATAATTAAAATTTTATTGTATTTATGAACGAAATGGTGACATATTTAGCCATTTTTCCTAAAATAATTAATATTTTACAAAACCTACCCATTAAATGGCGTATATTGTAACAATAAAGAAATTCAATGAATGCCGATAAATATGAAAATTAGATTTTACATCACTATAATATGAATGTTATATTTTATTAATGATTTAAAAATACGTCTGAATAAGATCTTTCTAGAAAAAGATTATTTTTAGCTTTTTTTTTAATGTCATATTTTTCTTAATATAAAACATAAAATAAATTCCTTACAAGCTTAATTTAGTTTATAGATAAAGATTCTAAACTACGAGAAAGTGAGACAATTATTTATTTTTCGTAACAATTACGTAAAAGCTGTGGATAAATGGACAAAAACGATCATAAAAATTACCCATTATGTCAAGAGGACAATGGAAACTACCGTAATGTGGTACAGAGCGAGATGGTCCTAAACATTTTTCTTTTTTAATAAACACGTTCTACTTTAAACCTCAAATACAGGAGTTTGTTCAAAAGATTTACCACGCCTTCGCCAATAGCTATCATGTGAATGAACTCGACCGGACTCAACGGGTCAATAAAAAAATATAACTTATGCCGGTTGTTGTTATCATACAATCTAAACATGTTTTGGTACTTCATTCCTCTTTCATCGAAATTTTATTGAACTTAGATTGATTTCTTCCAAAATAAACTTTAATCAGATTATAAAGAGATGAAAATAATTTTCTGAAAGAATAAATGCAAATGGAAAATCAAAGAAAAGCAGTTGATATAAGGAGAATACGAAGTATCTGTAAGTAGTACGTGTAGATAATATCCTAAATTCTAAGTATAATTTCACGAATAATTTATTAAAAATGAATAACATAAATTCAGAAATTCTTATAATTAAGATCTATAAAAACAGACCTACATTTTCTATTTTTTTTTTTCTGTCATTAATATAGTTTAAGCTGTTTGAGAAGTGTTTCGGAGCATAAAAAATTTCGGAATGTTTATATTTACATTTCGAATAATAGATCTAAGAAACGATAATTAAAAAAATGCAAAAAATTGCCTGTAAATTAATTTACAGAAAGACACCTAATTAATTTACGTGGACTATTTTTAATATATTAATTAAATATTGTTTGTTTTTAAAATTGAATCTCTTACTAAGTACAGACACATAAAGCGAAATAAAAATTAAATCAGAGAGAAACATAGAATTACATTAAATTATTAATATAAAATTAAAGTATTTGATTTATTTTACAAAATAAGTGCGAAACGAAGTATAATACTTTTAGAAATAATTTATATAATAATCTAATTGAATTTTAAATGTATTATTTAACTATATAATGTATAAAATTAGGTTTAAAATTCTAGTTTTATTTTAAGCAATTGTTATAAAAATAGAAGACAAACATTTATTCTACGTTTCCTCTACTACACAAATAAATCAGAGAATTAACATTTTTTTTAAATATATTTATAATATTTTATTTTAAAATTTAAAGTAAATGTTCTTTGTGGTCTGGTGATATACTTTCTCCATCAGAGTCTTTGTCCCACATTCGAACGTTGACGAGGAAGTAAATGTCCTCTGGCGTGAACATTCGGACAATCGCACTAACGACTGTTCTTCACGCTTAAAGGAAAAGAAAATTTTCTTAAATTTCGAATGGAAATCAAACAGTGGAGAAAATTGTTATAATGGGTGAGTAATTCTTAGATTCTTGGTGAATGTATTCTTGGATAACTTTAAACAACATGTACCTATTTTAAAATTTTTTATATTCGGTTTTCTTTCAAAACGTTATTGTTCCGAATACATTTCTTCAATTTAATGGCTAAGTATTACAACTTTGAATTCATTACTTTTACAGACAAATTAGAAATGTCTCCATCTAATCATACCTACGAATTTATAGTGGAAGAAATGTTTAAAGCCTGCAGTATCCTGGCAAAAGATGTGGCTGGAGGATTATCCGAATTTTCTTGGATTTTTGCTCCTGTACTGATCAGCACTGCGGTAAGTTTAGAAATAATTCTTTTTCGCATCAGTAGACAGATTTCTGTGGGAAGAAACTAACTATTCTGTATAGTAATAATAATTTAATTTTAAAAAGATTAAAGCTGAAATGGGAAATCTTTAAATACATCTTTTGTATCAAATAAACCGGTGATGGCTGATTTGTTTAAATGTACAAAAATTGAATTAATTGATATACCAGAATGACATAAATAGCTACGTAATTCTCTTAAAGTTTAAAATTAAGGAAATTTCCGTTATTAATTTTCCCATATTAATTTACTTCAAAACTATTTCCAATTTGCAAGTAACCTTTTAACTGATATTTAATTATCATTTAAATTTTTCTAGGTGTTGTTCTTGATGCCAATGCTAACAATTGTATTTGTTTATTTGAATGGGATATTTCTCGTGTTGTATCGTTATTGGTACGGAAATAAAGATCGATTATCTCCGGATTTTTGGGATACGGGTAGACGACTCACTATGAAATTTTGGTCGACGTATGGGAAAATATGGCACGGTAAGTACATTCCTTTTAATAAATAACTTTTTCACAATGTAATATATACTATTTATCAATACTTTTAATGATTTATAGCGAGCTAAATCTTAAGCTAAATACACTGTTGTATAGCTCTTAAAATTTGAATTCCTTTTAAAATTATACGATTACACTAGAATTAAATAAGTTTATAAAATTTCGAACTGCCTATCACCTATATTATATACACTATAGTCGGATAAACTTGACTTCATTTTTTCTGTATACCCGTCAAACAGGTTTAATTTGATCGTTATCTAGAAAGTTATGACAGTGTTTCGAGAATTAATTTCTAAATATAGTTGTAGTTCAAAATAACATAGTATTTTGAAAAGTTTTAGTAGTTTAATAAATAAGTTAAACATAAAATTATAATTTGAATGACACTGTTGCAGATACAGATATTGATTTATACACGAAATTGTAATAATTATGTCAGCGTATCTTTTTAATTATGTAATTAATTAAATATACATTTTCGAAACACCGGCAAAAAGAGTGCATTTTTTCTCATTAATATCTAATATATTAAGAACACGGAATTAATATAAATGATGAAAAACTTAATTGTTATCATTAAGAAATAATTTATTGAATTAACTTTATTTCATTAAAAACGTACAATTGTTATAATTTTCTTCTTTTAATACCGATAATGCTCTTCATTTTTTATTATTAAGAGGAAAATGAGCTTAATTGTAAGATGCATTGCATAAACTGGAATAAACTGTATTTTAATGTCGATACTTTCATCTCCACAAGTTTCTTATATTCATATTTTGAAAAGAAATTTTTGAATAAGTCCCGTTAATTTTTGAATAAGTCATTACACAGACAAATTCAAATACTATAATTTCTGCAGTTTATTTATTAAGCGCCTAATCAGTATCTTGAAAAATTGATATATTGTGTTAATATAGAGATGTTGATTTATAGTCTAATTTAAGATTTTTCTTCTTGCTTTATTACAATACATACCGTTAACAAATACAGTGGTACCTCAGGATACGAACGCCCCAGCATACGAAATTTTCAAGATACGACATGAAATTCGAACATATTTTTGCTCCACGATACGAACAAAAACTCACCATACGATGTTACATTAGTTCGCAGCGCCATTTTTTATTCACTCCTGTTCATTGGTCTCAGTCCGCGTGTTTGCTTCGTTGTGGAAGGATCTCGCTCAATAAAGGAAATCTTGAGGTATTTTCAGAAAGTGACTGATTTTATTGAAAAGAAACATCCCGAAAAGGTTCACACTGGCTGTATTGCTGCTCAGAGTAATAACATTTGCCTAAGTCATTTTAGAAACATTTAAAAAAGTAGGCAAAGCCAAACCTCTTTGGATAGATATTTTACCAAGCGACCTCTATGCAGTGAAAGTGCTGGTGGAAGTGAAGGAAAGAAAGCAAAAAGCAGTGAATAAAAAATAAAAAAATATATAAACACTAATTTTTTAACTTTTTTGTTTAAGTTATTGTTACATTATCTTATGTAAGTTAAGTTTAGTATCATTTCATCATTTCCCTTCTCCCTCTCCTCTGCCACAGGTTTGCACCTACACCATCGTCTACCTTCAAAGGTAAAGTGCAAATAAAACTACATATTTTTTTTAATCAATTGTTATTCTATTATGGTTATTTATACATTTACAACTACAAAATGCATTTTTCAGTGTTTTCTTTACTATAGTTATTTTTTATGTACTACTTAGCTTTAATTTGAGTGTGTTTTTCGTGTTGGAACGAATTATTTGGTTTTACATGTAATCGTATGAAGAAAAATGATTTACCTTACGACATTTTCATGATACGATCTCAGTTTCGGAACGGATTAATTTCGTATCCTGAGGTACCACTGTATATATTACGAATTGTATATTATAATATACAATTTATTAAGAGATATTAATAGTTAAATTTTGTAATAGGCCTACATTAGGATTATCCACGATTTAAAATTTAAGATTAAATACAAAGTTAAATCAAGATTTAAAATTTTTCTTTAATCGCTCAATAGTTAATCGTTTATTTTATCCATTTTTAAAACCACTCCGAACTCATTTTATCATTCTGTATGCACGTCTATTGTCGATTTTTTCCTGTATTTTAATTTTAATAATTTAATTAAATTTGTCTTCCTGTTGCCTACAGATTTACTGACATATATTTTGTTTTTCATTTATTAAATATTTTAGTTCCTTTTTATTGTTATATTATTCTAATTTATTCAAAGTTTTTCATCTAGGAAAAACGTTTGTAGCGTTCGACTTTTTTCTTCCTATTATTTAAATACACGAGTGATTCTCACAGGCAAAAACTTTATCTTAATAAACAGCACATTGCACTGATAAAAAGCATAAAATAAATATATTTCACTTAAATAGCTATTTTTAATATTGACAGTTTACGGCTCATGCAGATTTACTCATTAGAATCAATAACGGCTCACACACACGACATGCAGATTTACTCATTAGAATTAATAACGGCTCACACATTTAACGGCTTACTTATTACTTACTCACACAATAACGGCTTACTAATTAGAATCAATAACGGCTCACACACACGACATGCAGATTTACTCATCAGAATCAATAACGGCTCACACACACGACATGCAGATTTACTCATTAGAATCAATAACGGCTCACACACACGACATGCAGAATCAATAACGGCTCACACACACGACATGCAGATTTACTCATTAGAATCAATACGTAAAGACAAGTAGTCTTAATTGTCTTCTCTATTTTGAACTTCAGAATTTTAAGTCAAAATGCACAAATAGAAAACTTATCTAAGAATAGTTCAACCTAAAAATAATATTAATACAAATAAACTAGTAATTTTTTCAGTCTTTAAATATCTAATTACATATTAATCAATTTATAAGTAATGGGACAAGATTTTCTTATTTTAACGTTTTAAAACGTTAAGAAAAATCTTGCCCCGTTAAAATAAATGTAAAAAAATCAAAAATAGATATTTAAATAAGTAGAAAAAATGCGTGTTGCATGGCAGAAAAGAGATATAATATGGTTGTTAAACGATTTAAGAATGAATTTTGATTTAATCGTATTTTCAACTGATGTACTGTACTGTACGACTTAATCTAATCGTCTAAAAGTGCTAACAAATTGTATGTTATAACATTTGTATAAATTCTTAACGTGTATTGGTTAATAATTATTGCTATGAAACTATCTGACATAATAAAATAGAAAAGAAATGTTTATTAGGAATTTGAATCTTAAAGATATTCCTCAGATATTCGTTAAATGAGACAAATACTTTGATTCAAATTAGCATTAATAACGAGCACATATTTATTGGGATATCGTCACAATGCCGGGCTGCAATTTTTAATCATACTTTTAATTAATTTAATTTAAAACATATTCTCTCCACCTCAAATTAGTACTGGCTTGCCCCTGTACTTATCCTGTGAGCAATAAAATCGTGCCGGTCATCTACCTAACATCTTTCAGGGGAAAAATTTTTAAATTGAAATAACGCGACTTCTGTTTTACATCGAAAGTTAATATATAGGTAATCGGGATCTTCTACCCCAAGCTTTCCATGTCTAATTTCGGCTCTCATCTATCTAACTCCGTTCTTGAGATTAAGGAAGGACAGACATACAGACAGTAGGAATTTATGTCTACAATTTTTTTAAATTGCAGCCCAATAAGTTTCTTTGAAGAATGTGGATATTTAAAATCAATTTGATACTCAATTAAATAAAATTTTAGGATTTAAAAATTTTAATCATCGAAAAAATTTAACACGATTAATTTCAGTAACAATAACAGTCCTCTGTACCCGTAAACAATATCAATATTAATAACTTACAACAAAATTCCATAAAATACGACTTTTTATAATCTCATAGGTAATTATTCGATAGCCAACGTCTTATAGAGAACAGACCTTAAATATATTTTTAAATAATACATTTTCAAATAACATTTACACAATATTACTAAACATTTAAAAGATTCTAATCCTGTCCAGCATCAGTTTTAGAATTATTTCAAGGATGAAAATAATAACAATAATAATAATTGAAGAATAAACATATTATAAAAGCTTTGAAAGTCGCTACAAAATGGTTAATCCTAACCAATCCTCACATACACAGACAAAAGAAATATAACTATGCAACACGCAAAGCCTTTCTTATTTGCGAATTTGTCATAAAAGCAAATATAAACTAAGCGAGAACAGTACAATCCCGACTGTTCTGCTATACCATAACTTACGGTAACGATGATGATGATTATAATGAACACAACTCCTTTGTGGATGCAGTCACCTACAGGAGTTGTGTTCATCATCATCGTTGTCAAAATTTATTTTATGGTTACTGGAGCACTAAGGCACAAACGGAGCCTGATATTGTATGCATCAATGGTTCCTAGTGGACAAATTCAATGTAATATTACATACAGGATATTTATACAAATATTTTCAATATGAATCCGACCGTTATAATAATCAATAATATATTCTTAGAGAAGAATAATTGATATGAATTTTTAAAGAAGGAACAGGAAATCTGCATTAAAATTAAACGCTGCTTCTTTTGTCGACATCAAAAAGCCATTATGAAAGTAAAAAACTTACTGTAGATCTCAACCATCATAAATTTAAATCATACTGTATTGTAAAATATTGTCAACTAACAATTTTGTTTTGTATATTTTCGACTTGTTATTCATTTTAAATTAATTGTTTTGTTTTAGATTTGTATCTATGGCTCTGTTAAATAGGAGATAGCCATTATTTGCCTTGCGGCATAGCTTGAAATATTTGTAAAAATAAAATAAACAACAATCGATAAAAAATTTTTTATGAGCATTTTTTCCGCGAGTTTCTTAAAATATTAATCAGTATTTAAAAAGACATTAGACTTTTTTATAACTAACAGAAAGTAAAAATAAATTTTAAAATAGAGGAGGAATAAAA